ATTCGGGGGGATTTGGGGGGTCCTGGGGGGGTTTAGGGGGTCCTGGAGGGGTTTGGGGGGTCCTGGAAGGGTTTGGGGGGTCCTGGAAGGGTTTGGGGGGTCCTGGAGGGGGTTTGGGGGGTCCTGGGAGTGTTTTGGAGGGATTTGGGGGGATTTTGGGGGGTCCTGGAGGGGGTTGGGGGGTCCTGGAAGGGAATTGGGGGGTCCTGGAGGGGATTTAGGGTGTCCTGGGAGTGTTTTGGAGGGATTTGGGGGGATTTTGGGGGGTCCTGGAGGGGTTTGGGGGGGGATTTGAGGAGGTTTGGGGGGTCCTGGAGGGGATTTAGGGGGTCCTGGAGGGGATTTGGGGGGTCCTGGAGGGGATTTGGGGGGTCCTGGAGGGGATTTAGGGGGTCCTGGAGGGATTTTGGCGAGATTGGGGGGTCCTGGAGGGGTTTGGGGGGATTTGGGGGGTTCTGGGGGAGTTTTGGGGGGGATTTGGGGGGGTCCTGAAAGGGTTTTGGGGGGATTTGGGGGGTCCTGGAGGGGATTTAGGGGGTCCTGGAGGGGCTTGGGGGGGAATTGGGGGGTCTTGGAGGGATTTTGTGGGGTCCTGGAGGGGGTTGGGGGGTCCTGGAGGGGTTTTGGGGGGACCTGGGGGGGTTTGGGGGGTCCGGGAAGGGGCTTGGGGAGGATTTTGGGGGTCCTGGGAGGGTTTTGGGGGGGTTTGGTGGGTCCTGGAGGGGATTTTGGAGGGATTTTGGAGGTCCTGGAGGGATTTTGGGGGGATTTGGGGGGTCCTGGAGGGGTTTTGGGGGTCCTGGAGGGGATTTAGGGGGGATTTGGGGGGTCCTGGAGGGGATTTTGGGGTCCTGGAAGGGATTTAGGGGAGCCTGGAGGGGTTTTTGGGGCATCCTGGAGGGGTTTGAGGGATCCTGGGTGGGGTTTGGGGGGGATTTGGGGGGTCCTGGAAGGGTTTTGGGGGGGATTTGAGGAGGTTTGGGGGGTCCTGGAGGGGTTTTGGGGGGATTTGGGGGGTCCTGGGGGGGGTTTGGGCGGTCCTGGAGGGGATTTAGGGGGGATTTGGGGGGTCCTGGAGGGGATTTAGGGGGGATTTGGGGGGGTCCTGGAGGGGATTTAGGGCATCCTGAGAGGGTTTGGGGGGAATTTCGGGGGTCCTGGAGGGGATTTGGGGGGGATTTGGGGGTCCTGGATGGGTTTTGGGGGGATTTGGGGGGTCCTGGGGGGCGTTTGGGCGGTCCTGGAGGGGATTTAGGGGGTCCTGGAGGGATGTGGGGGGGATTTGAGGAGGTTTGGGGGGTTCTGGAGGAGCTTGGGGGGGATTTGGGGAGTCCTGAAAGGGTTTTGGGGGGTCCGGGAGGGGATTTAGGGGGGATTTGGGGGGTCCTGGAGGGGATTTAGGGGATCCTGGAGGGGATTTAGGGGTCCTGGAGGGGATTTGGGGGTCCTGGAGGGGATTTAGGGGGTCCTGGGAAGGTTTTGGGGGGATTTGGGGGGACCTGGGGGGGATTTAGGGGGTCCTGAAAGGGTTTTGGGGGGATTTGGGGGGTCCTGGAGGGGTTTGGGGGTGATTTGGGGGGGGTCTTCGAGGAGTTTTTTTTGGATTTTTTAGGGGTGGAGGTCTCACCCCGTCCCCCTCCCCAAATTCAGGTTCACGGCCGACGTTCGCTCTGTGCTGAGCCGCAACCTCCACCAGCACCGCCTGTGGTGACCCCGGAGACCCCCGGGACCCCCCGGGACCCCCGGGATGGGACCCCCGGGACCCCTGGGACCCCCCGGGACCCCCATGGGAACCCCAGGACTCTTGGAGACCCCCAGGACCCTCATGGGAGCCCCGGGACCCTCTGGGGAACCCCCCGGGACCCCCAGGATAGGACCCCTGGAGACCCCCAGGACCCCCAGGAACAACCCCGGGACCCCCAGGATCCTCGAGACCCTCTGGGGACCCCCCAGGACCCCCATGGGACCCCCAGGATGGGACCCCTGGGACCCCCATGGGACCCGCAGGACACCTCGGGGACCCCCAGGATGGGAACCCCGGAGACCCCCGGGAGCCCCGAGACCCCCGGGATGGGACCCCCGGGACTCTCAGGGACCCCCAGGCCTCTTGGAGACCCCCGGGACCCCCCGGGATGGGACCCCTGGAGAGCCCCGGGACCCCCAGGAACAACCCCGGGACCCTCGGGGACCCTCTGGGGAACCCCCCAGGACCCCCATGAGACCCCCGGGACCCCCGGGACTCTCGGGGACCCCCAGGACCCCCAGGATGGGACCCCTGGAGACCCCCAGGACTCCCATGGGACCCCCGGGACCCCCAGGACACCTTGGGGACCCTCCGAACCCTGGGACCCCCATGGGATGGGACCCCCCGAGACTCCCGGGACCCCCGGGATGGGACCCCTGGAGAGCCCTGAGACCCCCGGGACCCTCTGGGGAACGCCCCGGGACCCCCAGGACACCTCGGGGACCCCCGGGACCCCCAGGATGGGTCCCCCAGGAACAACCCCGGGACCCTCTGGAGACCCCCGGGACCTCCAGGACACCTCGGGGACCCCCAGGATGGGACCCCCGGGACCCCAAGAGGATCCTGGGACCCCCCGGGACCCCCCGAGACCCCCGGGATGGGACCCCCGGGACCCCCCCTGGGACTCTTCTCCCCCTCCTCATTTTTTTGGGGGGTGGAAATTCAATTTTGGGGGGGGGGCAGTGGGGTTTTGGCGCCCCTCCCCCACCCCCTCCCCCCCCACGTGCCTGAATTGAGGGGGGGGGTTAATTTTGGGGGGGGGGGGGGGGATTTGGGGGGGGTCCGCCCCTCCCCCCCCCAGGACAGACGGACATTTGGGACCCCCCCCCCCGTTTTTAAAAGCTTTTGGTCCCACCGGCGGCGTCTCTGTGGTTTCCTGGGAGAAAAACCCGAATTTGGGGTGAAAACTTCGGATTTTGGGGGCGAAAAATAGGATTTTGGGGAAAAAATGGCGAATTTTGGTGAAAAAATGCTGAATTTTGGGGTTTTTTTGGTTAAAGTAACCAGGAGGTCCCGGGTTCGAATCCCAGTGGGGCCTTTTAATGGGGCACCCCCTTTTTGGGGGGGACACCCCCTTTTTTTGGGGGGACACCCCCACATTTAATGGGGGATACAAAATTTAGGGGAAAAAAACAGATTTTGGGGAAAAAACGGCGAATTTTGGGTGAAAAAATGGGATTTTTTGGGGATTATTTGGTTAAAGTAACCAGGAGGTCCCGGGTTCGAATCCCAGTGGGGCCTTTTAATGGGGCACCCCCTTTTTTGGGGGAACCCCCATTTTTTGGGGGGACACCCCCACATTTAATGGGGATACAAAATTTAGGGGAAAAAAACAGATTTTGGGGAAAAAAAGCCGAATTTTGGGTGAAAAAATGGGATTTTTTGGGGTTTTTTTGGTTAAAGTAACCAGGAGCTCCTGGGCCGGTGCCTTTTAATGGGACACCCCCTTTTTGGGGGGACACCCCCTTTTTGGGGGGGACACCCCCACATTTAATGGGGGATACAAAATTTAGGGGAAAAAAAACTGATTTTGGGGAAAAAACGCCAAAGCTTGGGTGAAAAAATGTGATTTTTAGGGTTTTTTTTGGTTAAAGTAACCAGGAGCTCCCGGGTTCGAATCCCAGTGGGGCCTTTTAATGGGGAACCCCATTTTGGGGGAACCCCCATTTTTGGGGGGACACCCCCACATTTAATGGGGATACAAAATTTAGGGGAAAAAAACGGATTTTGGGGAAAAAACGGCGAATTTTGGGTGAAAAAATGCGATTTTTTAGGGGTTTTTTTGGTTAAAGTAACCAGGAGCTCCTGGGCCGGTGCCTTTTAATGGGGCACCCCCTTTTTGGGGGGACACCCCCTTTTTTGGGGGGGACACCCCCACATTTAATGGGGGATACAAAATTTAGGGGAAAAAAAAACGGATTTTGGGGAAAAAATACCGAATTTTGGGTGAAAAAATGGGATTTTTTGGGTTTTTTTGGTTAAAGTAACCAGGAGGTCCCGGGTTCGAATCCCAGTGGGGCCTTTTCATGGGGAACCCCTTTTTTGGGGGGACAC